CCTCTGTTTCTGTATTTATTAGATATTGTTTCCTAGTGTTTCTTTTGTATTAGTTTTCTTGTCCTAGGATTTCCCAGCTTGTGTTCCATTTTGTTCCTTTCTGTTTCTGTTTAATTATCCTTGGGTTCTGTTCCTAGTGTTTTATTCGCAGTTTATGTTTCCTAGTTTTTGGTATTTAAGTTCTCTAGTTTCTGTCTTTAATTATTATTAGTTCCATCTGTTGCCTGTTTTCCTCTGCCAGCCCTTGTTGATTGTTTCTCACCTATCCTGCGTTATCTTGTTAGCTCTCTATATTTAAGTAGCTGATCCTGCTCTGTTCCCCGTGGAGTCACTGTCTGTGTCTTGATTCCGTGATGTTGGTTATTTGGTTTTGCTATATGCCATGTTTGCTTCCCTGCCTGTTCGCCATGTTACCCGTTTCCCTTCGTAAATCATTTTTTGTTCTGTTAGTTACTTTGTACCCCTTTTTAGTTTTGACCCCTTGTGGTCCATTTTCTTTGTAGTGTTTCCAGTATTATCAGTTTCTGTAATAAATCCCCTGTGTTCTTGTGGACCCACAAGTGGATCGTCACCTTCCTTTTTCCCCACCTGCACCATGCCTGGCTCCTGACAGGAAGGCTGGAAAATCAGCAGTTCTCGGACCTTGGGGATAATGATTTGAACAGGCTTCCTCTATGTTGTACATTGTGCTCAATCCTACCTTACAATAGATACAGTACCCAAATGTATGTAATACTGGAACATTCTCATTATCTTAAGAGCCATCATTAATGAAGGTAATTTCCATAGTCTAGTTTGCAACAATACATTTTACTCTCCCCTTTATCAAGCTTAGTAAAGGAATTCAAGTTGGTGTTAAATCGTGCAACAAGATTATAAATCACTGTGTTTGAGACAAGAACCATTTAGTGCTGTGTCTGAGGAAGCCTTGATAGAGTTCCTCTTACTCACCAATGAATCCACGAGTTGTCGTCCCTTCTTGTCCAACATCTAAGTTGACTAGTGACATAGAGGGAAAAGTTATCAGTTTTGAAATGGAAATGATACAGTATGCAAGTACTAATTGTAGAATCAGCCATGAATAGCACAAAAATTGCACGATACATTCAAAACTACCATAAACAGGGGACTGATTGTTCAGTGGGCAGTGCATTTGCTAGTGATGAAAAATATCTAAATCTTTACCTGAAAATCTGAACTTGGTGACCTGAAGGAAAGAGAGAGAGATTCAGATTTGAGAGGTATTTCAGTCAGTGTTGCTAAAACCTTGAACCTATGACTCAAAATTAGTCAGAACTCAGTATAGAGTAGGGTTGCCACCTAAATCCTGTTATCCAAAGTTTGCTATTTAGTCCAAAGATTACTAATATATATAGTAATAGTAATATATAATAAACAGTAATATATAATAAATATGCTGAAATATAATAATAATATATCAATTATTATTATTGTTATTAATAATAATATTATTATTATTACCTCTCCTGGAGCCGACACCTTATCGTGGTGGAGAGGTTTGCATGTTCCAATGATCGCTGGAGCTAAGTTCCCTGGGGCTTTATGCCCCTTGTAGGAATTAATAGCTCAAATAAATTTTAATATTCTCCACCAATATGTTTTAATTAATTAAAGCTTAATTAATTATTATTTAATGCTGATTATTAATCGATTGTTATGCCGAATGGTCGGCTCCTCCAAACTCAATTGGGGTATCCCTGTGAGTCTGTT